GGACCGGGAACATAACTAGTTCTACTTTGGATATGTGAGTTTAGAGAAGAGTGGGAGATTTTTGTAGAGATGTCCATATAAGGCCAGATGCAGGTGTGCGTTCAGGCTGAGGACATAGCGTCTCGTAGAGACAGACATTGAGAGCTCTTGATGCTCCAGAGAGAGACTCTTCAGAGAAGAATGGCAGCCATGCGAGGCATAAAGCAGACCCTCGCCTCATGCCTGCTCCACTCTCCAGTCTTTTGAAAGCCTCTGGGACGGGGGTTCCATCTCCTGGAGCTCCAGCTCACATGAGGACCTGCCCAAGGAAAGGAAACCCTTTCCTTCTATCTCAAGAGTTTTCTGATTAGGTATCTGAACCGTCTCGGCTCTGCTGTCATGTGCGTAAATATAGCTTTGTAACATCTTCCTGCCCTTACCACATCTCATTATGCTGATTTTTAGAGACCGTGCTTAATCACACTGATTATTTTAGAGAGAATTCAAGAAGGGGCCAACTCCTGGCCCACAAGCCGAGGGCGGCAGCATGATGGGGAACCTCCGGGGGTACTCGGACCAGCAGTCACCCACACACGTCACCTTGTCCCCCAGCCCCCTGCTCAGAACAGGGGTGTGGCCGTCTCCCTCCTGAGAGCAGGAAGCAGCCCATGGACACCTCCACTTCCTCCAGACTTGCAGGAATCAGGACGTGGTGGAGGGTTTGAACACAGACATAAGGATTGGGAGTGTCATGGGTGACCCTCTGCTCGTCCTTTCAAAGAAATGCTCCAGTGGCCATGCTCCATGTAGCATGGCAGCACCAGCCCACCCTGAGGGGACAGGGCCCCCACGGGCTCCTTGTCCCCTGCCAAGCCCAGTTGGTCACCCTGCAGGGTGACAGCATTGACGTCAGCCCTCATGGTAGGGAATTAGCTCAAGCCCAAAGGGAAAGAGAGGCCAAAAAAAGAAAACTTCAATCCAGCCACACCAAAGCTACTTCTTTTTATTTTGTGGGGCTCTTAGCAGCTGTTAAGCTTTGCTGGATTTTGATAGTAAGAAAGTTTCCAAAAATAGAACAGTGAAATGTCAGAGTTAATGGGATCACAGCGATAAAATAGCTCTACTACCAAGCAGCCTGACTGACTTTGTTAGCTCGACGGGCTCCACAACGTGAGGGTTGCCCAGCATCTTTCCGGCCCCATCCTGAGTGTGTCCTCAGCACACC